CCTGAAAACAGCCTGAATAAAACCTGAAAACAGCCTGAAAACAGCCTGAATAAAATCTGAAAACAGCCTAAAACAGCCTGAATAAAACCTGAAAACAGCCTGAATAAAACCTGAAAACAGCCTGAATAAAACCTGAAAACAGCCTGAATAAAACCTGAAAACAATCTGAATAAAACCTGAAAACAGCCTAAAACAGCCTGAATAAAACCTGAAAACAGCCTAAAACAGCCTGAATAAAACCTGAAAACAGCCTACAACATTTTACAAAACATTACAGACGTCCTTGTGGGAGCCATCTTGCACTTTTACTTTGAGTAGTGGTAATTCTGTTGATTTGTTTGTTTATTATGCATTTGTTTACATTAGTGATAGTTTCATATTTTGGTAATATTCTTTTTGTAATTCGTCTAGTTAATTGTTTTGCTTTATGTTTAGTCTTTATTTGGTGAATCTATTAATTGTAGTACTTGGTTTTAGACACCTGGGGGTAGTGGTGCGCACAGGTAAGGGTGGATATATATATATATATATAATGGCACACACCTGTATGCACCTGGGTAGTGGACACATGGTTTTTTACCAGCGCAAGAGATTGTTTGCTCACCTGAACCAGCAATAAACCAGTAAACCAGCCTCAAGGACAATTCTGCGTGGAACTTAAATCATTTTCTTGCCTGCGTATGATACCTGCCCAGGGTGCCACAAGATGCCGTTTGTTTTATTTTAAGTTTAATTTCATTTTCGTTATAAGTTTGTTTGACAAACGGCTACTACAGTCCCCATCCATCTTTTTTTAATCCCTATCCCGGCCTATCAGAGCATGTGTTAAAGTTTAAAGTTATTTATCTACTTCCTTAGTTGTCAGACTCATGTAGAACAGGGATTTACTCTGATAACAACTTAATGGTTAGGACACAGACCTGTGGGTTACAGATGCTAATGCTCGTGTGGGATCAGACTTAAAAAATAAACTGGATCTGGAGTCTGAATCTGCATTTTCTCTTTTGTTTTTTTGCGAATATCGGATCGGGACAAGCCTACTCCCGATTCATGATCTCTGACACAGAAACACAACTCTGAAGGCTGAAAAATCTGAGGATTCAACAAGCTTTTAGGGTCAGGGGCGTCGTTTTGCCCGTCTTAAGGAGGCACCATGGCCCAGTTTTACTCATACGGTTATTTCTTCAGATAAACACTTTTTTTTTGGCTATACACATTTACAAATGAGGCCCATTTGTGATGGTCATCCAGAGTCTGAGGTCTGACTGGCATAAACTGGGAGACAGAAGGGTCTCTAGATGGTTAGAAATGACGTGATCTGTGTTACCAAGTCTCAAAACTAGATTATATATCTGATTAAAATCCATAAAACCATACACTTATAAAACATGCCAATATATCAAAGTGATTAAAATACACTATCATATATATAAAAATGTACAGAGAAACATTTAGCACATTAGACTCACAGTCATGATATTGTTATTATCACTTGTTATTATTATAAATAAAATTGTTTACCATCCCCTCTTTGCCATTTGAAGACTCATTATCCATGCTGGTGGTCAGTTCCCCAAAAGAAGCATCCCTGAAAGGTATTTCAAACATCAGATAAGACTTTACACACCGTTAAAATGTACATTTCTGCTTTCTGTTATGAATCATGAAAGAAAAAAATTAAAAAAACATTGATCCAATTAAATGTGTGCTATATCTTTCCCAGGGAGGCATTTATTATTAAAAACACAGATTCCCGTTTTCTCAATGAAGGGACAGACCCATTCAAATACAATACGAATAGTTTAACTAAAATAACTCATTTAGATCGGAGACTTAACCTCCAAATTTTTAATTATGTCAGGTGAAATTCTAAAAGTTAAAATTTGGTCATATGTATAGAATTTCTTCACAAATTAGACGCACCTCCCAAACATCCCGTTAGGCTTTCATCAGAAGGACAATGAGGCTAAAATTGTCCATAGTTTAAACTGAGTTTCACGTTTAAGGTGCAAAGAGTCATGTAGAAAAACGTTTGAATTTCAATAAGCTTCGTTACAAAGTTTTTCAGCAGACAAAGTGAGTTTATAGAGTTGGTTTATTTAATTTAGAGCTGGATTTTCTTTACAAATGAAGCTCAGCTGTGTGTGAGGCGCTAACGTTGGTTAGCAAGCAGCTTTGCTAACACCGCTTTTATGGCGAAAATAGGCCAAATGTGGACGTTATATTTTCACAGATGATCGGAATTGTAGTTTACGGCTTTACAATAATTCAAACTACGACGTATGGATGGACATACCCCTCTCCCGTCTCCGGTTCGGTTGCCGCAGCGCTGCCCGCCTCCATTTCAGACGCCATGTTCGAGAAATCAATGAAAACAAAGAGCTATCGCGAGATCACAACTTCCGGTTGTGGAGTTGGCTCCACAGCGATGCCTCAGGCTCACAGGGGAACTACACATATTCAAACAGGCGTTCAGGAGCATGTTTGTGGTGTTTGTTTAGTGAATTTTAGCTGAACTAAAATTAATCCCAGCTGTCCTGCTAACCACAAAAATACCTTAAACTTAAAGCACAAATAAATATTAAACATTTGACTTTTGACTTTATTGCTAGATTTGACTCAGCTTTAAATTTGTTGTTTATGCCGCATTACTTTTTTAAAAACTCATGTATCTTTGAGAAAATGCAATGTAAGTAAACTAAACAAAGGTTTATCAATTATTTATTGTGCATTTGTCTGATGAAAGGCAATAAGAATATCTGAAAATGACATTAAAAGTTAGAGTTATTTTGTTTTTTACCATGTCAAATTATTTTTATAACTAACTATGATGAGTTCAGGGAGTGATTGACTCATTTACAGTGTAGTTTTTATTTATTTCTCTGAATATCTGGTATCTTAATGAGTCAAGAAAAACTATTCTTTAAATAAAGAGATTTGTGATTGTCTTGCTGAGCTTGTGTCAACAAATTAGAAAAATATCTTTTCAACTTTCAATTATTAGATACAAAAGTAAGTTGCCAAAACAGCCAAAATTAAACATTATTCTAAGTTATAGCCATCATTTTAAATATTTCTGTATAGTGACCATATTTTCCTCAAATGTAAGATTTAAAAAAACTAAAATAACAAATAAAAAGTTTACATATAAATGTCAGGCACAAATATTAAACATTAACGCTAAATCTAAATGTTTAGTTGCTTAGTTTAAGGTAGTTTTCAGAATTTATGAGTGTCATTTATCACAATTACAATCACAAACGGGGTGAACGGCTGGTTCAGATGTGATTTTTATGACTTGTAACAAACCGTTCCAACAAAAGCAAAACAAAAAGTCTTTATCTTCACATCACAGACACTTTTACAGCCACACAGGACCCCACCAGGGGAACATTTCACTGTAATAAACGACTTCTTTTGGTAAGTGGACAGAAAAGTCTGTTGGGGGAAACAGATTTGAGTAACTCTTAATTTAGCTTAAACGTGCTCCCAGTTTTCATCTGAGCACTGAATGAGGGTCTACTTTTTCCCCCAATATATTTATTGATTTTTTTGCATTGCATAACAATTCAAAATAGAACATTAACACATAACACCCCCCCCCCAACACACACACACAGACCTAGGCTAAACCTGCAAATTCCACCTATATACAACTTAGCTTAAGAAATATATAAATTTGAAATCAAGTACTCCAATGTAATAAGAATCCTGCTTAAAAATATTCCTCTTTGGTTATGCCTTATTTGTCTTATTGCTCAGAAATCTGGGGAAATGCAAGTAAAACAACTACTGATATATTAGTTAAGTTGCAAAAAAAAGCTATAAGGGTTATAAATAAGGTGGGATACCGTGAACCAACTGATAAACTCTTTATTCAAAGTAAAATATTAAAATTTAAAGATATTGTTTATACAAAAATACTGGAAATAATGTATAAAGCATTGAATAAAAGTCTTCCTTCTGGTATTCAGAAATTATTTAAGTTAAGAGAAAATAAATATAATTTGCGAGGTTTGTTTATATTTAAATGTGCAAAAGAGAAAAGTCAGATAAAGTCTAGATGTGTTTCAGGTATTGGTGTGAAACTGTGGAATGAATTGAATGATGAATTTAAGTTATGTCCTTTCTTGGTGAACTTTAAAAGAGCTTTAAAATGTAAAATGATAAAATCTTACGTTCTTATGTAAATCTATACATGTACTATGTACTATGTAATCTGAATTTGAAGAAATCCTGGTTGTAAGGTAAAAAAATAGGGTAGGCAAGAATAAGCTTTGCTTCGGCCTATTCCTTTTTTGGTAAACTGTGGGTTTGTCTATTGTTTTTTTTTTTGTTTTTTTCCTTTTGTTGTTTCTTGTGTTTAATGTGGACAATTTACCAAAATAAAGTGAAAGTGAAGTGAAGTGAAGTGAAAAACAAATAGATAAAACATAAAAAAATACAGAACAACTTAGGATAAATAAACATTATAAACATTATATCGAATGAAGGTCTACTTAGATCCATGTATGTTTATTTTTAGAGTCTCTGCTCCATAAAAGTCTGGGCAGTTGTGTACAGAACGTCTGCGCGTTTACAGGATTCTGTCTCTCTGACAGCAGATTTGTTAGACAAATGACAGGTGAGAGGATTTAGAGAATCTCCTCACATTTACATCCCGGGTTTGATTTATTTTCAGACTTGCAAACGGGCCCTCTGCTTTTAGCCTTTTTTTTTTTTTAAACAAAATTTGTATTATTTTTTCAGAAATAATACAGTGTGGTACGAATGTACATATATATTTTTACATTTTGAAACATAAAAAACAAGCAAACACAAACACAGGGTGATTACAAGAGTGTGAGAAAAGACAAAACAAAACCAAAAAAACCTTATTGCATAATTAGTGGAACGACAGGTCTCCAACGTTTACTGAATATGGGTGTTTGTAATCTCAGGGAGTATGTTATATATTCCATTTGGTATATATCCCAGACCTTCTGGATCCATATATTATAGCAAGGAGGCTCAGGTTTGAGCCATCTGATTGTTATACATTTTAGAGCCGCTGTTAATAATATGTTCAAAATATATTTTCCATCTCGTGTAGTAATAGTTTTAGGTGTTACTCCAAATAGGGCAGTGACTATGTTGGATGGGACTTCCTGTTTAAAGATTACTTTTAGGGCATCAAAAATGTCTTTCCAAAACTGATTTAATTTGGGGCATTGCCAGAATATGTGTGTGTGATTAGCATTGTCAGTTCCACATTTTCTCCAACATAATCCTGAGTATGTCGGTCCAATTTTAGCCGATATAGCTGGTGTTCTAAAGCAGTGGTTCTCAAACTTTTTTCAGTGATGTACCCCCTTAAGAATATATTTTTAGTCAAGTACCCCCTGACACAGGCAAAACATTTTTGGAAGAAAAAAGAGGTACAGTGCTGTAAAATCACTGTCTTATTCATTAAAGCCGAACGTAACCATGGTAACGACAGGTCGTTGACAAGTGCGCTGGGTCCGTGGGTCAAACTAACTTGGTGGGGGGTCCGTTTTATTTTAAAGGATATTGAAACTAAATACTGAATATAAAATGCAGTGCATGAACACACATTTATATTCTATCGAACTTTTAGCAGAATAATTTCTCCCAAGATTTATTATGAGGAGCCTACTGATTTTTAAAATATATTTTGAAAAGCTTCACGTACCCCCTGCAGTACCTCCACGTACCCCCAGGGGTACGCGTACCCCCATTTGAGAATCACTGTTCTAAAGAATCTAGTCACAACTTTCCATTTGAATTCTCGCCAGGTGTTTGAGTTTGTAACAAGGTGTGACTCCGTACATATTTCCTCCCAATGCTTTTAGCCTTTAAAGCTCTGGTTTAGGAGGACCACCCCGCCGAACGAGGGTCGTTCCTGATCCAGTAAAAACGCACAAAGACGAGTGTGCAGTAAACACCTTCAGCCATTGTTTGAGGGATAATAGACCCTGTTATTGTTCCAGAGATAATAGACACGTTTCTCCTCCTCTTTCCTCCTCCAACAGAGGGACATCTGGGACACCGGGGAAGTGAGAGGAAGCTGCTGTGTCCGAGTTTGGAACCCGTTCCACATCTTTAAAGGGACATTGTGTAGTATTTTAAATATTTTACAAGCTAAAATCATGTTATTAATTTCTAAATATGTCCTCGTTTGGTGTAAAATGACCTCTGGTATGATCTGACTTCTCCTCATAAGAAGAATTTCCTATCTGTACATAGGTTTCCATGGCGATCCGCCATTTTGAAAAACATTAATGGGACATAAAGCACTAGTCTGCCTGTCTAGCTAATCCACAACACGTTTTCCTCCAGAGTCACGTGACTTGAACCGTATCTAAAAAAGAACGTTTATCCAAAAATAAACAGATATAGAATATATCAATATTAACTAGCCCAGTTCTGCTTTTCAGTCTGTGATTCAGAATGTGATTCAGACTGTTGTTAGCTAACGCTAGCTATGACATAGGCTAGCAATGCTAAGCTACAAACAAAAAGACAAGCAACAAGCATCTATCTATCTATCTATCTATCTATCTATCTATCTATCTATCTATCTATC